GTGTTGAAGCAAAGAGTTTGAGAGTGAGAAAGTCTGGCCCTCAATGTCTGTATCTTTCTATACATCAACCTCATAGTAGGGGCTCTTACTTAACCAACATTGATCACGACTCTGTCATACTGACCAATATTGGTTTGCCACCTTAGAGCATCCGCATCAACCTCTTCAAATTTTTAGTCAAATTATAGTTAAAAAAGTTATTTTACTATTTTAGTTAGTCACCTCTTTAGTACCTACTGCATCAAACTCTCTATTCTAACTTAACTCTATTAAAATATTATCTTCTTATTGTGTTTGTTATTCTTTCTTTTTTTTATTAAATTGATGAGTTACCAACCAAATAATTTTTTTAAAAAAACAATTAAAAAAAAATTGGCCGTTGACCGGACAGACATCCGGTAACACTAATCTCCATGTCGTAATGATGAACAATACCTCTCTTGTTGTAGCGAGGTACTGTAGCACTCATAAATTAGCGATAAACAGTAGCGAGACTAATGCACGTCCATTTTTTATGAGCAATATCACTAATTTAGCTAAAAAACAATTTTAGCTAGTTTGATGCGGATGCTCTTACTAGACCAAGCTGGGTTACATACCCATTGCTTTTCATGTAAATTTATTTGTATTTTAAATTAAGAAAAAATCAATTGATGTGGTTATTTCAAAAATATAATGGATATCCATAGATAAAATCACAATCCTACTATAATAACCATTTATTTGTACTATATTATGTGTCACTATCAGTCTAGTTGTCAACTATACCATCCTCAAAACACACACGAGATACAACCCAAAACATACATTAATAATCGCATACATCAGAGTAAATAGTCTTTTCATTACATGAAGTTAAAGATACAAAAGAGTTTAATATAAATAAATGCCCTATTGGCTTACACCTTTTCAAGCCTTGACTTGATTACAACAAAATGAGCTTCGGTCAATACATATTTAGCCCTAGGCTATGCAAAAATAAACAAAACATGAAGCTCTCGCTTCCTAAAGATCACTCTCATGCTATTGCCTTGGAGAAGGCATGCCATCATTACTTGAAAATGTTATTCCCAAATAGGATGAGCCACAGCCCAGTAGAAATCATCTAACACAGTATATGAATTTTAGCAAAGGCATAAGTACAAGTGCATAAACAATGCATGTGATGAAACATTTCACAACATTATATACTTATGAGATATCAATTTCAAATCTTAATCAATTTCCCTTCAATTCATATTATGTTCACTTCTCTGTCTTCATTCATGAGTCAATTCCATTATTTCTCAACAACTGAATTGAGGCTACAACTCAAAAAATTTCAATTTATACAACACATATGCATAAACACTTCAAACTTCTATTTAACGAAAATTTCGTCCGCAGGCAGCCGTCAAACGGGACCCATGTAAACGTAGGCTATACAAGCACTACAATTGTCATTTTACGGATATTTCATCTGTGGGCCAGGCACCCATGTATAGTTTCGGGACTTTCACCCAGGACACTCCGGCCAGCTTGGTTATAATGGAGTCCATCCCCTTTCTCCTCCCAAACAGTCATTCATACATATGCAATGTATTTAAATATAAAATCAAACAATGGAGCACATCCCCTTTCCACTCCCACATATTCATAAACATACAATGTATATAACCATAGTCATATCCAATGACAAATAACAAGAGATTAGTTTCAATTCATCTAATCCTCATGCAATTTCTACAACAATCAAAGCTATCCTCCCCCAATAACGCAATACAATTATCTCTAGACAGATATTCAATCTCAAATATATAGTTTATTCAAAACTTCCAAAAGGATGAATCAATACATAATCAATCACACCATTCATATCAATACTCTCTCAATTTCACATTTTTAGTGTCAACTCCAATTATTTGTACAAAATAATAATTCGACTCAATTAGGGAAATTTCCTTCTTTTTCCCAAATATTAGCCAAGTGCCAAAATCATCAAATTAGATATAACACAACATCATTTTCAAATCCCACAAGTATTTATTTCATCTTTACCCAAAACCCCTCTTTCCATTTTTGTGCCCAAACCCTAGGTTTGTTTAAAACATCCCCAAATCACACTATTGCTACACAAGAGACAATATCTAAGCTAAATATCATATGAAAGTGTAAAAAGAATCCATACCTCAAAGGAAGAAGATGAGCCACACAAGTGGGAAACTCCAAGAACACCGAAACCCACTTCTATTCAGATAAAAATGTAGATCTTGACGAGTTCTACCTTTTTCTCAAAGGCACTAGGGTGAAAAGATGGATGGATCTAGATGAAATCCAAGAGAGAAGGTGAATTGTAGAGAGAGAAGCTCAAGAACAAACTTTTTGGAAAGTTTTAGAGAGTGGGAGATATGAAAAAGTGATTCAAAATGTCATCTTCTCGAACTAAAATACACGCAATCCGCTTGAGCATGGAAATCCCTGCTCGAGCGTCAGACACAGACTCCCGCTCGAGTATAAAACTTGATGCTTGAGCATCCAATGCATTCTCCCAGCATCTACAGACCTGCAAAAAAAAATGCTGAGAGTTGTCGAATCCCGTTCGAGCGCGAGAATGGACGCTCGAGCGGAGAGGCAAAATTTGTGAAGCCCACTCGAGCGCAAGAATGCCCGTTCGGGCGGAAGAGCCAAAATCTAGACGATAAAGGTTTTGAAAAACAAACAATCAACATGTTCCAAACGCACAACCACAACCCGGAAGCCAATTCTAAAGGGATACAAGAGGAACAAGAGATAAACGACAATGTAAAAGCATTAAACCCGAGTCCGGAATACAATAGATAACGGGTCAAAACCGGAATCATTATAACACTCCATTAAAATCATACATTAATGGTGGGACACATTACACTAATATTGTGTTGAAAAATAAAATTATAAACAAGATTGGTTGGTAACCTTGCTCTTTTACACACTCACCGAGAAGGAAAAAGGGGGTTAATTAGATTTTTGGTTTTCAGTATGAGTCTTCAAGTTTTGTGTAATTTTGGTCCCTAATATGTAAATTGTGTCAATATAATTTTCGATGTATACAAAATTATTTCACTTTTTTTTTTGGTTGGTTACTGCTTTTTTTTTTTATCTCATAGAAGTTATTGCAATTGTATGCAGTCGGGTGCTCAGAAGTTCCTTGGCTTCCTTGGTGCAACAAATCAAAAATTATTATCATTGGTAAGCTCATTTTCCTTAGAAGTGTTTGGAAGAGTTACTGCTTTTATGTTTGGAAAATGCTATAGGTCTCAAATTTTTTACCAAAGAAATGACCAAATGTATCATATGGGTGTGAGGTCCACAAAATTGTGAGCCCCACATATGAGAGTGAGGTCCACAAAATTGCAGACTCCACACCTATGTGAGACATTTGGTCATTTATTTGGTATACCTAACATTACTTTTTATGTTTTTGGTTGACTACTTATTGATTACAATGACATGGCACTATTCGGGTGAAGATAATTTGGTTGGGGGGCTAAATGAATGCTAAAAAGGCTTGAGGCTATTCTTAAACCCTTGTTATTAGATTTTCGATTTTGTTGCACAAGTCAAAAAAATAATAATAATAATAAAAAGAATTTGACAGTGTTAAAATTTGGGGATTTTTAGTTTAAGGTTTTTGATATTAAAATTTTATAAGATAAATGACATGCAACAGTTTTATTGTAATTGGAATCTCTTAACATTTTCACAAAAAATTCAGCTCTTTACAGAGAAATTTTAGCTCCTCATAAAAATTTCTTTGTATGAAGGAAAACATTTCTACTATGAAGGACCCTAGCTACCATAACAATATTATTGATCGACCTTAACTACAAAGATAAAATATATTAGACCTCTCCTACTACTCAAAGTTACAGAGGGATTTTTCGGTAATTTTTCCTAAAATTTGCTACGTGGGTTATGGCTATAAAATCAATTTTTTGGACTCAAATAAATATTTAAATCAAATCTGTCAACTTAACTCAATAAATATGAATTATTATATAAATTTTTTAATAATTATTTGAATTTAAAATATCAATAATATTCAATCATAAAATAAATTTGAATTAAATATATTGCGAGTCATCAAAATATATTTTTTATTTTTATTTTATTCTTTGATAGTTTCATCATGTTAATTTAATCTTTAACTTTTTAAATTTTTGTTAAATGATCACCCATGTTATTTCTTCCCAACATTTAATTTACAACAAAAAAAATTGATTTTTTGCGACGGCAAAATGCCGTCGCAAATACTCAAAATGTCGTCTCAAAAGATTTTTTGCAAATGACATATGACTTTTAGTGACGGCAAGTGAGGGGTCACAACAAAAGGGGTCGCAAAAAAGTTTTAGCGACGGCAAAGTTGCCTTTTGGCAACGGAATTTTTCCGTCGCCACTAATATGAATATCCCATCGTGAAAAATTTTTCCGTCACCACTAAGATAAAAGCCTTTTGAGACGCCACTATGTTGCCGTCACTAAAGGTGTTATGTGCGATGGCAAAAATGCCATCGCTAAAGAATTTTTATTGCGACGGGATACTTGTCGTCGCTAAAAAAATATTTGTGACAGCACGATGTGCCGTCACTAGAAGATTATTTGCGACGACAAAGAGTACCGTCGCAAAAGGCTTTTATCTCAACTCTGCCAATATCATTTGCAACGGCAATGTGGTGTCGTCTCAAAAAAAAAAAAATATTATTAAAAATATGAAAACTACCTGTATTAAATGAAAAATAATTGAAAAAGAAATCAATAATTACATAATAATATAAAAATTTCAATATAAAAATAACAATTCATCCATAATAAAAATATTCTTGCATTCATTCATTACAACACACTAGCAAAATTATCCCACTACATAATATTGCATAATACATACACAATGTTTAAATACATAATGTTGTTCACAATTCAAAATAACGTAAATCAAAAACAAAAGTTTCCCTCGTGATTCTTCCATGGATAACAAAAACAAAAGTAAATTGCAATCTTCACATGCCTGTATTCCACAAGAAACAAACTGCTACTCGAAAAATATCTAAAAACAAAAAATAAAAATAATTAATGACAATATAATTATGTGTCAATATTTTAATTACAAAAAAACATAAAAAATTAACTACTATATAATTACAAAGATAATTAAGTAAATAATTTTGGCTAGACGGAAATCCGACTCTAACTCACAAACCGGGAACCCGATTGGAGTCTCATCTTCTCCCACAAGTCTCTCGTGCCTAGACGGTCGTGTGTGCCAAGTTTCGTACTAAATCGACGCCGTTTGGAGATTTTGGGACGTCAACACTTCCAATTCAAATTTCTTAATAAATTAGCTTGCCTAGACCGAAATCCGGCTCTAACTTCCAAACCAGGAACTCAATTGGAGTACCGTCTTCTCCCACAAGTCTCTCGTGCCTAGGCGGTCGTGTGTGCCAAGTTTCGTGCTAATCCAACGCCGTTTGGAGATTTTGGGGCATCAACCCCTCTAATTTAAATTTTTTAATGAACTAGTTTGCCTAGAGTGAAATCTGACTCTAACTCCCAAACCGGGAACCCAATTGGAGTCCCGTTTTCTCTCACAAGTCTCTCGTGCCTAGACGGTCGTGTGTGCCAAGTTTCGTACTAAACCAACGCCGTTTGGTGATTTTGGGGCGTCAACACCTCAAATTCAAGTTTCTTAAAGAACTAGTTTGCCTAGAGTAATATCCGACTGTAACTCCCAAATCGGGAACCCAATTGGAGTCCCATCTTCTCTCACAAGTCTCTCGTGCCTAGGCGGTCGTGTGTGCCAAGTTTCGTGCTAAACCGATGCCATTTGGTATTTTGGGAAGTCAACACCCCTAATTCAAGTTTCTTAAGGAACTAGTTTGCCAAGTGTGAAATCCGGCTCTAATTCCCAAACCGGGAACCCGATTGGAGTCCTATCTTCTCCCATAAGTCTCTCGTGCATAAATTTAAGAGGTAAAGTTAGAAACAAAAAACAGATATTGGTTATGCTAAAATGTATTTTGAAGCATTTTCACGTTGTGGTGCAGTAAATGCATATGGATAGCAACATCTTGAGGGCCCTCAAATATTTTGATTAAAAAAAATAAAATCACCAAGTTAATTAGTGGCCTCAAGAAAATTACAAAACAGTAGGAAAAAAAAAAAACCTTACCGACAAGTGTTTGAACTTACCAACTACATGTTATACTGCATTTAAAAGTAAATAATTGGGTTAAGGATAAGGAATATTAAGAAATAAAGGTTTTGGAGTCCTAAACAGAGAATTTTGGCATTTTTCTATTAACTGACCAGGCTAATGTATCTTCTATTAACAATAATACACACCAAGATAATTATCCCTCGAGCACTGAAAACCAGATGGAAAACTCTTCAAAAAGCACAAGAAGGTAGCAAATCATAGACATAAGGGAGGTGGACTATTTGAGCTGGTGATAATTCCATACATGAAAAACTTATGGAATTACCTCTCTGAACCTTGTACTGAGCCACATAATAGCACAGCAACGACATTTAAAAGAGTTAAACTTTGCCAAATGCTTGTTTAATTATTTTAACCCACTAAACTAAGTAGTGCTATAGCCTTGACAGTTTCTAGATATAATTATCATCATGTTAGACGTTGATCAATGCCACCTTCTCCTATCCTTTAATCATTTTATCTTCATTTCTATTGATATCAAAATTGCAATTTTCCTCTAGTACAGTATATGCAGCCACTAAAGACATACTCCTGACTAGTAAAGAAAAACATCTATACAATGCATGAAGCAATACAAATGCACTGCAAAAAATAGAAAATATCCAATCCTCATTGATCACCTGGGAGAGACCAACTATGTTGAAACCCTTGCTGAGTTCTTTCATTTTCTTCACCTGTCGATTTGATTATGAAGTAGTCACTAGGCAAAATCAAACTTAGAAAACAAAACAATGGAACCACCGAAGGTGGCCATGGAGATACACCACCTTGTCACAAACTTCTTCAGCCTGTAAATATTAAGCACAATACAAATTAAAACTCGACTACAAATAACAACACTTCTAGATGACGAGCCAAATAACATTATTATGCTAGGTCCTACCTGTTCCTGTAGGGGCATAAACCAAGAATCCCAAAATTCAAAACTAACCTATAAAAGAAATAAGGTACATTTCTGAATCTCTTAATACTTCAGTTGCTGAAATTATAATGGCCTTTCTTTCCAAACTGGAAATCGTTAATATGGCTTAGCTTGTATAGTGGGTTCTCCATCCTAATATAAATCAGATTCAATTGACTAGAGTCATGTTCCATTTTGTTTCCTATTAAATGTACTTAAGATCATAAAATATCATTGATCTACAATTAATTGTTTTAAGAACTTTTATGGTATATCTTTCTTTTTAAACCACAATGAATCGGATGGGGAATGACAAGGCATACAGACAATATGATTGCAATCGGTTTAGATAACTTGACACAAGATCAGTATGCAATCACAAGAAGAATTATATATAGGGAGACATAAAACAAGAAGTCATCTGAAACTACAAAATCATACATGCAGTATCCTTCGGATTTTGACCACTTGCTCAGTTGCTCAGTGAACCGTTTAACTCTTCGATTGGAGCATTGATCTCTTGTTCCTGCCATAACAACAAGTATACTTCAAAAGCAATGAAATTAAAGGAAATAAATATACTTCTTTTACCTAAAAGAGTAAAAAAAATAAAAAAGAGAAAAGAGAAGAAAAAATACCAAAGCCTGTAAAAAAATCTGCAATCCCAAAAGCCTAAAAAGATATTACTACAATCCAGAAAAATCCAAGTATAACAATCATATATCTAATATATTTACAAGCCATTAAGATATATTAAAACTTGAGTGACTAAAGAGACATGGAACACATTAGTCTTGCCCAAAAAATTTGCGTAAGAATGAGACTTCAGCCTTCCTACGATGCATTTCTCTCAAAACAATGAAGGAAGCATGTAGTAAGGTCTAAAATCATAGGAAAGAAAGAAGAAATTGGGGGAAAAAAATGTAACTAAAAAAAATTCTTCACTATAATGTATTTTCTTGCAGGAAAATTCTGCATAAGAATGAGACTGCTATCCTGCGTCGTGAGCTCTTCTACTATGATATCAGTTTCACCGCAAGGTCAATCAAGTCTAAATCCAAGTTTTCGATCCTTATCTACTCAACCAAATCAACATTGTACCTATGTTAAGCAGATTATTAGAGATGGCTAATTGAAAACCCTAGGAGAAGATTCAAGATTGCAAACCCTAGGAGAAGAATCGATGGGAAGGAAGAGAATACGAAACTGGGATTGTAGACGGCGGTGCTCACCTTAGTAGACAATGGTGCTCACTCTCGCCGGTGCAGACGGTGGTGACGGTGGAGCTTCGAAATCGAGAGAGACAGAACTTCGAAATTGAGAGAGAACTTCGAAATCAAAATCGAAATTGCTCTGCAATGAATCTCTTGCCCCCTCTCTGAGATGAATCGAAATCACTGAGGCGACGAGAGAGAGAGCGGTAAGGGAGGAGGTGTGGCGGCGACAGTGGTGGTCGCCGGTCGCGGCACCAGAGGCGACGACGTAGGCGGAAGAGATAAAGAGAGGAGAGAGAGAGAGTGAGAGGGAGTGCTAGGTTAGGTATTGGGGAGATCGTGAGGAAAAAAAGGGAGGGAATTGAGATAAAATTGCGGGAAAACGAAAAGAGTTTTTTTTTTTTTTTTTTTTGGTAATGAATTTATTTATTTATTTAGTTAATGAATTTTTTTTTCTTTTGCATTTTTTTTATTTTTTATTTTTTTTTATATTTTTCATTTTTCATTAAAAATTTCTTTGTTTCATTTTTATTTTAATGAAAAAAAATTGGTTATCATTTTTCAAAAATACTTTTCAGAAAATTCTACTTTTTTATTTTTCGTGGTTTTTTTACTGAATTTTTTTAATATTTTGAGTAATTTTTTAAAATTTTAAACATACCTAACATACATACACCTAAAAAGTAAAAAAAATTGAAAAGAACCTTTTAAAAATTCACTAAATACCAAAAATATAAAAAAAATACGAGAATTCAGTACATTTTTTTTGTATTTTTATGTATCTATTAATTTTTAAAAATATTTTTTCACAATTTTTTTACTTTTTAGTTACATCTAAGTAAGGTGCATATAAAAAAATTTAAAAAAATGTTCAAAATTTTAAAAATATTCACTAAAAACAAAAAAAAAAAAACATGAAAACCAGAAAACTCAATTTTCAAAAAACTTAATTCAAAAAACTCAAACCAAACACACGGATTATTTTTTTTCATTTGGTAGAAGGGTAATATTTTAATGAAAAATTATTTTCTATTAAAATAAAGTTAATTTTTTGTAGTCAATGATTTTTTTTTTTTTTTTTTTTTTTTAGTTACTAAGGTTGAAAATTTATTTGTTTCATTTTTATTTTAATGAAAAAAAAATTATTATAGAGAGCGACAATAGTGGTGAAGGTGGTGGGGGTGGTGATGGCGAAGGAGATTAGTGGTGAGGTTGTGGTAGTGGTAGAAGAGATGAAGTGGCGGTGGTGGAGAAGAGGTAATGGTAGTAGTAGTGGCAGTAGTAGTGGTGATGGTAGATAAGAGGTGATAATGGTGGTAGTGGTGGTAGTGATGGCGAAGGAGATTAGTGGTGAAGTTGTGGTAGTGATAGAGGAGATACAGTAGCGGTGGTGAAGGAGAAGTAATAATAGTCGTAAAGGTGGAGTGACAATAGTGGTAGTAGTAGTGGTAAGGGAATGACATTTGTAGTAATGGTGAAGATGGTAGAGGAGATGGGTGGTGTGAGAGAGATGAGTGAGAGACAGATAGAGAAGAGAAATAGAGAGATAGAGACAGATTGATAAGCGAGAGAGAGAAAGACAAACTGGTCGCTAAAAGTACATTTTCTTGTAGTGTCTTAATAAATCGAGAGGGAGCTTGGTAAATAGAGAAGAGGAGAGGAGGGGGGTGCGCAAGGCGAACACAATGAGGGAGAGACAGACAGACAGACAGACAGGCAAATAGGTTGGTAGATAGAGAGAGACAAGAGTGATGAGTGAGAGACGGAGACAGAGAGAGAAAGAGACAAAGAGAGACAGAAAAAGAGAGAGAAACAAGAGATGAGCAAAAGATAGACAAAAAGAGAGAGAAATATAGCAAAAAGAGATGAACGATAGAGAGACATAGAAAAAGAGAGAGAAGGGAGATGAACGAGAAGAGAGAGAAAAGAGATGAGTGAGAGAGACAGAGAGATAGAGATAAAAAGATGAGAGAGATAGAGAGAAGAGAGATGAGCGAGAGAGAGAGATAAGGAAAAGAGAGATAGGCAAAAAAGACAGAGAGAGATAAGCGAAGAGAGAGAGAGAGACAGATAGACAGACAGACAGAGAGAAGAGTGATGAGTGAGAGAGAGAAAGAGAAGAGAGAGAGGAAGATGAAAAAATGGGTGAAAAGAGATAGACAAAGAGAGAGAGAGAGAGAGAGAGAGAAAGAGAGAGAAAAAGAGCGAAAAGAGATAAATGAGAGAGACATAGAGAGATGAGCGAGAGAGATAAAGAGAAGAGAGACATAGAGAGAAGAGAGATAAGAGAGATAGAGAGAAGAGAGATGAGCGAGAGACATAAAGAGAAAGAGACAGACAGACAGACAGACAAACAGACCGAGAAGAGTGATGAGTGAGAGATAAAAAGAAGAGAGACAGAGACAGAGACAGAGAGAAAGTGAGAGACAGACAGACAGAGAAGAGTGATGAGTGAGAGAGAGACAGAGACACATGGAGAAAGAGAGAGAGAGAGAGACATATAGAGAAGAGTGATGACTGAGAGAGAGAAAGAGAAGAGAGACAGAGATAGAGAGACAGAAAGATGAAAAAGTGGGTGAAAAGAGAAATGTTCAAAAGAGTAAGACGACGTCGTTTTTTTTTTTTTTTTGTGACAGAAAAATACCGTTGCATTTATTTAAACCATTTTGTGACTATATATATATGAAGTCGTCTCAAAGCCACAATATATATATATATATATATATTTACTTTTTTTTTTTGCAACGGTACCTATTACAGTCGCAAATTTTTTTTATCTTTTATTTTTTTTTTGCGATTGCAGCTGGTGCTGTCGCAAAAACTCTATTTTTTGCGACAGCAATATCTGCTGTTGCAAATACTCTTTTTTTTTTTTTGCGACAACAATTTCTGCCGTAGCAAATACTCTTTTTTTTCGCGACAGCATTTTATGCCGTTGCAAATACTCTATTTTTTGCGATGGCAAGTTGTGCCATCTCAAAAAGTCACATTTTTTGGCGATGACAAGTTGTGCCGTCTCAAAAAGTCATTTTTTGCGACGGCAAGTGTGCCGTCGCAAAAAGTTCTTTCTTTTAAGCCCCATTTTTCTTGTAGTGTGAACAAAAATAATCCACTTTCATAACAAATGGTTTTTTTACCAGGCAATAGACTAGTAAAACAACCTTGTTAGCCTTTGAAATGGAAAAAGAAACAAATGGAAGAGATTAACCAATCAACAAAACATTTATTGATGCAGAAGTTTGGCATTGAAAATTATTAAATAATTTCGTGATATCTTATGTTATTGCCTATGAGATGTTCCCTTATATTGAATTGTTAACTACCAATTCATCTAAAAGTTAAAGTAATAGCAAGCCAAACACGTGTAAATATTTTTTAATTATTGGATAAGCGGTGAGGTTCGAACACACGATTTATTATCTACTCTGATACCATATTGAATTATTAATTATGAACTCATCTAAAAACTCAAACTATTAGAGACATCGACAACTTTATTATTTATATTATATTTTCAACCCAATAAATAAAAATGATAAATTATACTAGCATTCCTTGCCTCCAAAGGTAAGTCGCTATTGTCACACTCATCAAATTTCCCTGCTATGTCATTGGTTTAGAGTTTAAGTAAATAATAATTTATTGTATTCCATAACTACTGAATAATTATGCATGGGCACTGATCTAATGGTAACCTCACGATTTCTTTGTTTCTATCAATTTAACCACAATATGTGCTTCTAAATCTTCAATTAAAGTAATCTGTACTTCTATATTGATAATTTAGTTGAATTATCTATAGGTGTTTGTGCTGGATCAGGAGGATTATTGTTTTTGCTTCTAAAGTAATAAAGAAAAGAAATGACATGAAACACAAGGAAAAATTCTTTAAGCGGAATGGTGGTTTCTTGCTATAATAAGAAGTGTCTTCAAGTGATGGCAGTGTTGAAAAACCAAACTGTTTAATTCAGAGGAGTTGGAGAAAGCCATTGATCATTACAACGGGGATCGTATCCTCGGCCAAGGAGGTCATGGTACAGTTTACAAAGGTGTGTTGTCAGATGGAAAAATCGTTGCTGTTAAAAGATCCATGGTTGTCGACGAAGGAAAGTTGAGCAATTCATCAATTAGGTCGTCATTCTTTCACAAATTAACCATAGAAATATTGTCAAGCTCTTGGGTTGTTGTTTAGAAACAAACGTTCCT